TTATTTATTTATTACAAGGGGCTGCGTGCCCCCCTCCCCGGGGGCCGCTGGAAGGAACTCGGGGTCAGCCCCGGGGGTCCCGGCTTGGCCCCCCCAGGCCGTGGGGGTCACGGCACTGAGGGACGGACACGCGGGGACCCTCCCCAAGGCAGCTCGCGAAGCCACCGCTCATCTCAGGAATCGGTGCACTCCTTACTGGGGGGCATGGCGGGGGGCCCTGCGTTGCCCCCCAGCTCGGGGGGCCACAGGGGTCCTGCCTCCCCGCCACCCCGGGGGCTTTTGTACCGCGCCGGCGCGCTCGGCGCTCACCAATACAGAGACTTTTTGCAGCGGCGTGTGGCTGTGACTGGGGGGCGGACGGGACAGATCCCGTGGGGATGGTGACAGGCTGGTTGGGGGTCCATGTCCCCTGGGGGAGCCCACTGGGCTGCAGCCCCCCTCGGCCCCCGTGCTTTCCCCCTTTGCCCTCCCGCCTGCCGGCTGGACTCCAGGCAGGAAGGCCTTGGGGTGACCGACGTCACCTCGGACCTCGCGTGGGCTCCTGGGGACACCCGTGTCCCCCCACCCGCCACAGCCCCCCGGTGCCATGGGCCGTGTCCCGGTGCTGCGGGGCCCCAGCCAGGCTTTTCCTGCCCAGCTTCCTCCAGCAGCCGGCGGGAAGCGGGTCCCACCCGAGACCTTCCGGCTGCCGGGGGCCGGGGTGCCCACGGGGAGGAGGATGGGCACTAGTGTCCCGTCCCCCCTCCCACTCCCTGCCCCGTTGGCCCTCAGTCCCACTGAAGCAGCATCCAAAGGCCTTGGGGGGGGATGACAAAGCCCCCCCGCCAGCTGCTGCAGCAAGCACCCACGGGTGCACAGGGGTGGCCTTGCACGAGGATTCCCTTGCACGGGGGTGGCCTTGTACGAACGCTCTATGTGAGCGCCGAGAGCCCCCAGCCCTCTGCCACAGGCTCTGTGCCTCAGTTTCCCCACTGGCTTGTGACTGTCCCTGGCCGGGCCATTGCGTGTTTGGGGAGCTCTGGGGACCCCCACCTCTGAGCTCCTGCACCCCACAGCCAGGGCCCAGGGTGTCTGGCCATGGGTCAGGTGTCGTCCCCCCCCCAGACCCCAGGGGGGTCTGCCGGAGATTTTGGGGATGAGAATCACGGGGCCGTGGGTGTACGTGTGCTGGGCGTGTGCTGCAGGGCTGCGTGCGCACACGAGTGTTGCACGTGTGCGTGCTACAGAGCTGCATGTGTGTGCATGCTGCAGGGCTGCGTGTGCACACGTGTGTGTCGCGTGCCTGCGCGTGTGCGTGGGGCCCCGGCCGGTTCCCCACCGCTCTCCTGCCTTGTCCCCGTTCCAGCACGGCTCCGTGCTTGGACATTTATGGTCTGGCTCACGGGGCCACGCTCGCAGCCCCGGCTCACAGCACCCGCCCGCACGCTGCCAGGATCGGGGCACCCCGTCCCCGTCACGGGACCCCCCCCACCACCGCGGCAGCTGCCACCCCACACGGAGCTTTTTTTAGCCCGGAGCTGAAGCTGCGTGTGCCCGGGGCTGGGCAGGCACCGGCTGGACACCGGGGTCACGCATGGCACCGGCTGAGCCGGGCAGTGCCGGTGGGGCTGAGGCTGCGGGGTACGGCCCCGGGAACGCCCGGGAGCAGCCTGTCATTACCGACAAATATAGGTCCAGGGCAGGGAGCCAGCACCGGCCCGTGGGCACCCTGCAATCACCGCCTGGCCCATGGGCACCCTGCGATCCCATGATGCCCACCCAGCCCGTGGGCACCCTGCAGTCCCCTGACACCCACCCAGCCCCAACCACACGGGTCCTGGGGGCAACGGGAAGAGCTGGCTGGTGGCCACCGTGTCCCCATGTCCTCACCAGGGTGTTGGGGTGGATCCGGCACACCAGGGCCGGTGTGAGCCGGGACTCCCCCCCGCACACCCCCGTGGCCTTGCAGCGGTGACCGGGCTTCGGTTTCCTCCCCCGGCGCCAGCCTGGGCCCCGCGGCCTCTCCCGGGGTACAGCTAATCCCGGGTGCGGGGGCTGCCGGTGTCACCCTTCTGCCGCCGGCAGCACCGTCACCGGCTCGGTCACCGAGCGAGGGGGGCAAGGGGGCTGTCACCAGCCACTCTCTGTGACCCCAGTGGCTTTGGGACCCCCATCGGCTCCGGGACCCGCAACCTGACCCTTCCCCCGGGGCTCCTGGCCGTACCCCCGGGCTAACACCGGCTATACCCCCTCCCCCGCCCCGGTTTGCCCCGGGCCGAGCCCCGGTACCGACAGCACCTCTCGCGGTGTGCGGGGACCCCCGTAGGTCCCGGTCGAGCCCGGGGGATCCCCCGCGGAGGCGGCCCCGGTGATGCCGCGGGATCCCGGGGACGTCAGCGGCCAGGTGTGACGTCACGGGGCCCCCGCCTGGGACGGCCGGCGAGCGG